TATTAATAACAGTTATGAGATCATATAATTGTGAATGTATATATGAAATTAATAAAATTTTCAAAAAAAAAAAAAAGGTCCCTTCCAACTCTGTTAATCTGTTAAGGCTAAAAGTATCAGCGATGCTATTTTCCAAAACTAATAAATTTCAAAATGTAAACAAGAAAACTTATGAGCCCATTAAAGACTACATGACATTTATTGCAGCTTTCTGCTTTCTTTTGTTTGTTTTTAATTGTTCTTGCCATCATAGTGAATCACTGAATCTTTTGCCTTCTATGGTTTTCTTGCATGTCAATTTTTTTGGCTTATTGATGGACCTCCTGATCTTAGCCAAGCTTGTTGAATCTCCTTCAAAAATCCAACTCTGTTCCACTCCAGCAGGCCTCATTTGTTTAATCATGTTAAGAGCCATAGAAAAAGACTCAGCCTTGTCTTTACAATGGAACGTAGCATGTTTGACAAGTGATTTATTTTTTCTTGGCCTAATTGGACTTTATAACTAAAGAAAAAATGGACCTTTCATTTTATAGAATGTACAGAAATCTTCTGGGGAGGATAAGATGTCAAACCTAGATATTATATCACATTTCCAGATGAATTGAGGCTATTACTCCCAGAAATCTCTGCCACGTTGGCTCTTAATTCTGGAACTTACAGTCTAATACATTTGAAAGGCTGCAGGTTAGAGATACAAGCAAACAAGGCATGAAAGTCTTTAGAGCAGTTCATCTGGAACTTAACTGATATGCCTTTTGTTTAAAAAAATCACATGAAGGGGCATAACATAAAGATAATAGTCCCCCGGACTCAATTGAAAGACAAAGGAAGTAGGAAATTATCATATCCTAGTATTAGGACAGATACACTGGCTTCTCGGGATAAGTCTATCAAAGCAGCCCACGTTTTATATTATTTTATTTGAAAATGTGACTTTTTTAAAGAAAACTTTACTTTTGGGAACTATTGAGACATTTATTCTTAAAAAATCAAAGTCTTGTAGCACTTTAAATGCTAATAAGCACAATTTTATGTAAGTTTTTCTGGCATTCAATTAACAGAATAAAAGAGTTTGAAGGGACCTTGGACCAGGGGTGGGTTTCAACCAGTTCGCGGTGGTCCCTGCGAACCGGTTGGTCGGCGAACCCGGAAGTAAGTAACTTCCGAGAACGGTGACTGGCCCACCCGTCCGCCTGCGCCCCTTACCCGGTTTTGACAAGTTCTGCGCTTCCACGCATGCGCAGGACGCATACAGCNAAAAGAGCAACTTAACGGCCATGTCGACCCCTGTTCTTTAGCTGTTCCCTTCATCTGGCAACTCTGCGCATGCGCACACTGGGAACAGGCTCCAGCTGTTCTTCTGCCTCACTGATGAACACTGATGTGTTCTGGCCCCCTCTCTGCGTCTGACACAGAGCCTTCATCAGAGCCTTCCCCAGACTCCAGGACTGGCCCAGGTTCCTCTCCAACCTCCTCATTGTCTGAATCTGCTACCAGTTCTGCTGGTCGCTGGCAGGCCACAACAGATATTAGCATGGCCTTGAGAGCAACATCTAAATAAATAAAAACCAGCCATACCTACTTCCAATGCGGTGGAAGCAAATGCCCTGAACTAAAATAAAGAGGGGAGGAAGGTCAAGAAAGGAAAGGACAGATATTGAAATACGAAACGCTTAAATCTTCACCTACCGTAAAATGCCTGCAAGTATATTCCATCCAGATTTCTGCACAATTGATATAATCCTAAAAATAAATGCAGGGGCGTCACATTTCAGGGCCCTTTGGCAGGTTTTCACCCCCACCCAGCCAGCTTTTTCCAGGTTTGAACTGATTCTCTAAAGTAAGTAAAAGTCAAAATACATTTATTGTCCATTTATGAATTAGATTTCTAATAAATTTAGGAGCGCAGGCTCCGCTGGCGGGCCACAATAACTTAGTAGTGGGTTCCGGATACCGTTCCAAACGGTACGGTTGGAACGGGCCCGGCGCTGCCCACATGGACGCACTTCCACAAGCCTCCACGACGCTCCAGCTGCTTGGAGGAGCGTTGCGCAGGCGCTGTACGTGCCATGTGCGTAAGCGCTGAAGGCTTTAAAGGACAGGTAACGAGCTCGGGCGGGCCGGTGGGCCTTCTGGAGCACCGTACCGGGATGGTACCCGGTGCTCCGGGAAGGCTCCGGTATGCCCGTACCGGAGCGTACCACCTACAACCCACCACTGCAACAGCTAGTTTAATGGCAACTGGACCTTGGTTTCCCCCCTCTGACTTTGAGCCCCACACCACCACAGTGGTAGAAAGAAGAAGTTAGTTTTCTTTCTGGAAAATGATTATTTAGGACCTGGATACACTCATCTTGGTGGTCATTCTGGGAACCAGAGGAATAGCAGCCATTCTGTGTGCGCAGCTCTCACCCACGCAAAATTTCAAACGTCCCCTCAGCCCTACCTCCGAGCTAGGCAATGCTCTTAAGATAGAATGTTTCTCATTTACAGTCCATTTATTTCAACCATCTGCCCACTCCAGCTAAGTTGCCAATTTCTTCTACTAATAACCCACCTGTGGACTCTTTAACTTGGTAATAACTTTCCAGGCTTCATTTAAGATTTGAAGACGGTCACTTTCTGGTGGGTCAGCTAAGGCTAAGTTTTGTCCCAGGGAGCAGAAGAGAAGATGCTGTGAAAATAAAAATGAGTTCCATGTCCATTTTATGGCCTCTATGAGTGTTCCCCCTTGACTAAATAACATTAATAATACAAAGACAGATACTTTAATTTGTAAAAGATTTGAGAGAGATTAGAAATACAGTCCTGGGAGTGGGGGAGGGGGGAAATTGCTACCTCAATGAAAGAAACGTTGGTTTAATTTTTATGGCTTTTTAATTCATTTCAATGGCTTAATTTTATTTTTGCTCTGAATTTAAAAAGCAGCAGCAATTTTCTTTAAAAAAATGAGGCAGGCATTTGATGCATAAGCAAAAGCCCAGAAGAGGTTTTCCCTCTTTGTGGGCAAAATGCTTTAAAAACCAAGTTTTTACAATACAATACAATAGCAGGGTTGGAAGGGACCTTGGAGGGCTTCTAGTCCAACCCCCTGCCTAGGCAGGAAACCTTATACCGTTTCAGACAAA